ATCCTCCGTCACCAGGACACCCGCCTCATTCAGCAGCGGCCCCACATTGTCCCTAGCCTTCCTTTTGCTGCTGATGTAGTTGAAGAAGCCCTTCTTGTTGTTTTTGACATCCCTTGCCAGCTTCAATTCCAGGTGGGCCTTGGCCTTCCTCATTGCATTTCTAAGCACCTAAGTCACCCTTCAGTTAGGATAAGCACCTGGTAGGATGATCCCTGCATAAAAGTGCTTCTCTGTTGATTTTCTGCACAGTGCTGTTTCCCAGTCATGCATTTTTTTTTTTATTGCCTTAAGGCTTTAGAGATAGTATTACTTTGTAGGCATTTTCTGTGGATGAAGTTGGCAAAAGTTCAGTTGGGTGAATTGAGCAGCTGCTTAGTGATAGCATGGCAATTTTTTTTTTCCTTGTTTAAGGGATTTGGCTGAAAAACTTCTCTTTGGATTCTGTGGAATTATGTGTGGGGCTCTAGAGGACCACTATCTACAGTTACTTTGACTAGGAGTAAATGTGGAACCTGTGCAGCCTACTGTAGGTGACCCTGCTTCGGCAGGGGGGTTGGACTAGATGACCCACGGAGGTCCCTTCCAACCCCTACTATTCTGTGATTTTGTGATTCTGTGGAGTAGGGTGGTGCTGGTGAGGGTTGTTAATGGTGGAAGAGGAGTAGAGAAGTGGTGTTAAATAGGGTCACTGGTAAGCAACTCTAAATCAGCTGTGTATTACAAAAATTTCACTGCTTTTAAATTAGTCAGGCTGAAGTAATGGATGGAGGAAAACTGAGAAAGAGCAGTAGTTTTACAAGGGCACAGGGCTTGGAACTGGAATCAAAGCAGTTGACGTCTAGCTCCCAACCCTGTCTTTTTGGGCCACAGCTAAATCTTTTAATGTCTTCAAGAATGCATTCTTGAAAAGAGCGTTTGCAGCTTCTTTGCCTGCCGGTTTCTGCTCACCGCACACTATTTGTAAAAGCTGCTGTCCTCCATGGCATCAAACCTTTGTGGAAATTGTGATGTCAGATTAAGATGGTCTGTAGCTGAGAAATAAGCAGTAGGAAGCAATTAGTTTTTTGGGACAAAAGATGTTTTGTGTATTGTTTTGCAAGAATAAGTTCTCTTCTGTTATACTTCAGGTTATTTCTGAATCTAATGAAACATCTGGAGGATCTAAACTTACAATATAAGGCATTACAGTTACTAAAACTTTACATAACTAAAAACATAAATATCTCCTTTCAGATCTTTCCAGCAAGCTGCCAGTGACTAAGTAGGATATTAGGCAGCACAGACAAAATACAGATGCTGTGAAAAGCTGAATGGCTGCTTATAGAGAACATAAGATTGATGGCATGCAAATGTGCTGCCTGAATTGGGACAGTAGTTTCTTGTGTCTTGATTTCTGCTCAAACTAAGCTGTTAATTCTCTGCACTGTTTATGCATATAAGTGACTAGCAAGCCTCAGTCTCTCTGAAGACAGTTGTGGGACTATAATTATATATCAATACAAATATATTAGTTGCTCCCTCATCCAGACTGCAAAAAACACTCCAACAGCTGAAGTGATGGCAGAGCCATGTTATTGGTTCTTGGTAGTGGTGCTTCCAGTATTGCTTCTG